AGCATCTCGTCCAAAAGTGCACAAAAAATCCACTCCCCTCTCCAAGTTTCTCCATATCGTGCCAATTTTATGCTGACAATGCATCAGATTTGCTATGTATATGTGTTATTTTACTTTATGCTTACATTTAACAAAAAAAAGAACTTTTTATTCATGATTTCAACATGCCGCAAGATGGATTATAATGAATACATTAATGATAATAAAATGATTGTATAACTCGTGCATTTTTTATTGATAAACATCAACCATCCGAACAAAACAATACACCAAAGATCACATCAGATACAAGAAAGCGCGTAAACGTGTCAATAGTCACAAAAAATGTGTCAATCAACAAAAGTAATCTTTTTTGAAGGAATCAATTCAGAAAGAAATAGAATTTAAAACGAAAGCGACACTGAAACCATCAGCAACGCACACCCGTCCGTTTATTAGATTGAACTCTTCTTTGAGAGGAATGAGCAAAAGGCAGCAACTGGTTGACTCGACGTTTTGATCTTAAGACCGATCAATCGAGAATCTCGTCTGGCCGATAGATAATTCGGCGGTCAGCAGAGACCATTCCCGATCATCACTTCGCTCAATCAACCACGCAGCAACACAGCTATCCCAAGGTATTGCAGTACAAACGGCAATCGATCGTTCCACCCGAACCAACAGAAATATCGAGAGTGTTTAACCACTCTGTGATCTTCTGTTCGTCAAGTACAAACATTCTTGATAATACACTTACCGATATTGATGGTCGATACCTCAAATTTTCAGAGGAATGAGATCAGTAGATAAACACACACACATATTCAACAACCATTCAGTTCTCTAGATGTTTGGTGGGTGATGAAAGCAAGAGAAGATAACGACTAACGATTTGAGACAAGCGTTAAGAGCCGCCTTTCGCTCGCGTTCAATGAAAAGATCCATCACATACGAAGTCATTCGAGGTGCATTCGCGTATAATTTGAACAACCGCACGAAATTGCCCAATGCCCACGCTTGACGTACGCGTAAGGCAAAAGCAATACACTCATCCTCTCGTGCTGATTCATCGAGTTCACTCAGTAATGTGATTTGATCTGAATTCACCGTAATCAACTGATTGATCTGTTTCTAATCAATATCAACGACCTGCACAATCTACTCACAAATTGTATTTTTTGAAGCACGAATATATCAAATTAAAATGAATAGATGAGTAAAGAATAAAACAAATCAAAAACTATTCACCAATTGTATTTTGAACAGAAATGTAATACAGAAGGCGATATGCGGTGAATTCATGTTTATTCGCACAATTCGATACTTCCGTATAAAGAAGTTTCAGTTGACTTTGACACTGATTGAACTCCTCGCGATCACCTCGCTCAATAGCAATCCGGGCGTTGGTCTCATAAACTTTCACAGTGAATTCATTTCGGATGCATTGAATCTGAAACGATGTTACGAATTTAACACAACATTGATCACGAATGTGAGCATCTAGAAAACAAAACACAAAGCGTATAAATAACGATGGAATTTCTTATCCTATCACAATTAATAATCATCGTGCAAACAAAGGATACGATAATTCAAAATTAAATTAAATGTCACCAATTCTTGAAATACTGATGCAGCGAAAAGACGATAAAATTGAAATCAATATATGAATAAAGATATAAACCATTAAATCTTGTCGAATACTTTTGAGCTGATCATTCGCATACAAATAGTCGTTTGTTGATGCATACTTGCGCTGAACTTGTTTCAACGCTTTCTCAAGTATTTCCAAAGGTCTTACCGTACTCGGATCAGGTGCCTGTAAATGCCACATCATCGGCATAAATAGTCATTTATCAGGTGTAATGGATTTCCAACAATAAAACAGAATAGCGTCTGTTAATCATGATATCAGCAATGAAGTGAAATTCAATGGAACTAATGAATGATACAGTCAAATGAATGAGTAAAAATAAAACATAAAAATTTTTAACCGAAGTGAGACGGAAGAATGATTTTTCAATATCAGTGCATGTACCAACAATGACTTGATCAGCGGCAGTAGTTGAGAGTGATAAGCGTGATAAGTTGTCACTAAACAGTTGGAATCTACGACGATATCTAAAAGCTGCACCTGAGTCATGCTCACCAACATGACTGTCAGTGCCGAAACGTCGAGCCCTCTCTTCACGTTTCGCATTACTTCGCTCATCAGCAATCCACAGCTGTTGCGAACTCTTGCCATTTCGGTTTTGTTTCTTACACTTCTTCTTATTCGATTTCCTCGATGATGATGGTGACGATGAAGATGGGGTGTTTACGACTGATTTTCGTTGTTCCTACAAATATTCCTTTGAAAAAAGAACGAATGCAGTAAAACCAATGGAAATAGATTGCAATTTCGACCCAATCACTTCGAAGGAATTCATTTGCAATCAAGCAATCGCATAGGCAACTTTCAACGAATGTATAACTGAACAACAACCGAGATGTGTATATCGCTCGAAACAAATCAAGTAAGGCGTTATCAATACCTTCCCATGACTTGCCTCACTCGCATCACTACCATCATCCTCCTCTTCGGATGAGGTGTACAATGGAATTGTTGGTGACGGATTACGACGTTTTCTCTCTTTGCGTCGAGATGATTTTGCTGATGTTTTTTGTTGTTGCTGATGCTGTTTATCTTTTGCGAATGTATATGTGGCTGATACCTTATTTTCATGAACGCCAGTCTTGTTTCGATCATGCATGGCACTCTTCCACGTCGACTGACTCAACACTGATGCGTTCGCACGTCTCAGCTCACTTGCTGGAGTCCATTGATTTTTCAGTTCGAAATTCACGTCCGATGGTAACGGCTCCTTCAGAAATATTCATATCATCGATAGAGTTAAAGGAATTTATACGAATGAATAGTCTTATAGACAGCTTGAATCATTCACAACAGTCAGCAAGACAGCATGAATTCAGATCATGACGATATTAACCATAAAACAGAAAATAATATCACGAGAACAGTCCATCAGAAACTTATTTTTATCGAAATGATCATAAAGTCGAAATCAACAAAATCACAGCAACTGACCTTATCCCAGTCAACAGCTCTGGCAGCACCCGATGTAAGCAAAGGATTCAACTTCTGGCGAAGATATTCCTCTAATTTATCTCTCTCTTCTTTTGTTTCAACAGCCGAATATGCTCTTTCTATATATCGCCTGTAATCAACATTTAATTGAAAATTTTCAGTTATTAAACAACCAAAAACACAAATAAATAACTATTCCAAACACCAATAACTATTTAACTAATCCAAAAAAGTCGAACTTTCAAAACATAGAAAGCAAGCTAAAGCTAACACAGTCAAGTCCGCAACTCTTCACAAGTGAACTTGATAAAATATCCATTTGACCGATACAAAATTCAAGGGATGATAAGATAAAATAATGAAAACTGCTTTAATATTTCATAGAAAAGAAGAATGAAAATAACAAAATTAATGGAAGAAACCACAAACCTAACACTATCAGGCACATTTCCACGTGATGCATTCGCAACATTATTGCCACTGCTAAAATTGTTTTTGGGTAACGCTGATGTATTGGGAGAGAAATTAGGGTTTGCATTAAAACGACCAATACTGAAACGTATTGGTTGCTGATTTTGCTGATTGATAGGTTTATGAGGACGCTGGTTCATGACTGCAGATGGTGTAATCGTTCGTGGTGTTGACTGTTGATTCGAGAGTGTCACAGAAGGATTACTTGAAACTGACGTATCGCTACTTTTAGTGTTGTTACCAGTTTGTTTCGATAATTCAGGTCGATTGGGTCTTGTGCCTAGTGTTGATGCTGCCTGATTCTGAGCAGGTGGTGGGGGATATCCAGCCGAATAAAACGGATTTGGCATCGAACCGTATGGATTGTAATACGGCTGGAACATTACAGGAGCAGACATTCGTGAGGCTGCATTGAAAGAAGCGTATTGCTGAGTCCACGGATAGTAGTGTGTGGTGGCTGCTTGAATTGAGGCAGGATTCATGAAGGATGGATGGAAGGGAGGTGCAGCTCTCGCTGTAGCTGCAGCAGCAGCAGCTGGATTCACTTTCTTGAGCGCCTCTTGTGCTCGGAGCCATGCGGCAGTTTGCGAATCGTCACCACCCGCATTGCCATTATCATGTTTATTATTCTCAGCACCACCACCACCAGTTTTATTCATCATATTACTCTTCTCACTGCTCGACAGAACATTGTTTGAAACATTACCTGTGCGACGATCACTGAAATGAGTGAGTTGAGTGATTAAAACCATCATAAACTATTACATCTTTGAGCGCGATCTCGGCTCATTTCGCACTCGTCATCACTTAATGATGATAATAATGAGAGTTAGAACGAAGATTGTGATGTTGATAATGATAACAACAAAAGCGAACAAATCAACATCGATAATAATAGTGATGCAGATGGCAGTAAAAAGAACAATATTAAAACTATCGATACAAACCTTTCCAAATTTACGCCAAATGCTGCGGTTGACATCGTCGACGAAGTTTTACGTAATATTATGAAATGTTTAAAATGAAAACTAGATTCAAAGAACTACTTTTCGAAACGAAAAGAAATGGTAAACCGAAAACGCTATATGTTAGATGAGGACGGTTCAAGTCTCAAACTTAATGCGGGAAATGCTCTTGAAATTCACTTTGAACAATAAGTTGGGCAGAATCTTAACGTGAAAAAAATTCGATCCAAGAGTAGAACTCTTCCACAAAAAAAACGCGTAAAACAGCAGTTGAAAGGTGGTATACGATATGCGAGTTTGAATTCAGTTCAAAAATTTGATGGAAACGCTTTTTGCCGAGGATCCCCTTTTAAAGAAAGGAGCTGAAGGAAGCACTGAATCCAGACTTAAAACGCAAATCTGGCTACGATTCCCAAAACGAACGAATAGTGCTGCTGCCAATCTGACAGAAGTCGAAGTTGACGAATGTGAATTAGAAGTGAATTTGACGATTTCAGATGAGATTCAAATGAAGCAGAAGCACACAATAACGATGGCAGCCACGGAATGATGTTGGCCGATTACAATGCTCTAGTTGAGTGAGCAACCCAGTGCTGCTAGCACTATGTTATGAACGAAAGCCGATTATGACAGA